CTTTCGACCGATCCTGCAAAGGCTCCAAGTCTCTTCGAAGTTACTATGGCTGCTTATGAAACAATTACAATGGATTTAGAAAGACATGTTAAACGTGATGTAGAAGAATTTAAAGATCGTCAATATGCTTTATTTACTGGTGTTCAAATACATGGACCAAATGGATCAGATCATTGCTGGTTAGGAAAAGCAAGTTTATTAATCAAAGGAGAATTCTCACCGCTTGTTCTTTCGGCAAGTCCTACTTTGCAATTGTAGACAGGATCATCAACCAAGTCACACTGACAATATAAAGTTGCTCAAGACTAAACTATACTTCTTGATATTTCTATATACTATATAGTTTTAATATCTCACGATCGTTTTAATAAAAAAAAAGAATATTTTCTAAACAATTGTTTTTGATAGTATGACTAGTTTTGAGCAGAGTTTTACACTCACTCATATCCTTATTGAGGGTATAGGTGTAAGACATAAACGAACGCTAGATTCACATCCACACCCACACCCACAACCACACTCTACTCTTGAATTATTGCAAAAGATGCCCTTAAAAATCAAAATTTTGGGCGAATATTAGTAACTATGCAACTGTTGCCATTCGATTTCTATCGTTACTTAAGTAACCAATAAAATAAACATGCTATGCATATACATAAAAAACAACTTTGCCTTTGACAAGTGAAAAAAATCATAACTAAAATTTTTAAGTGAGTTTGATTTTGTTTGAGTAACTAGAAAAAGAATTTAATAGAAAGCGTATGAATCGATCTCTATGCTTTGATAGACAAACATAATTAACCATTCTGCAGTTTTTATTCCATATGACAACAATATACTTGAACTATAAGTAGTTGTAGATGAAAAATGAATTTAACTATTGAAAACCATGTGCTGCTGTTTTTATATAACTTCTAAATATCTTCACAAAATATATCTTTCACTGTTTTTTTTACAAACTACTTAAAACAATCCAAAATGAAAACTGCTTTCATTTAACTGTAAAATCATAGAAATTTTTATTTTTTTCAGTTTTTTAATGAAAAACTCTATGGCAATACTCTAGAGAAGACGTAGTCAGTAAATAATTGTATTTTTTTTGTTGCTTCTCTACTGTAAACACGGACGGATGGACTGTCATTTTTTTTCTTTTATTCTGAAGCAGAGAAAAGAACTCAAGTAAACTGTATACAGTTTTTCACCTGGACGACATAGAGAGAATTGTTTTTGTTTCATCTTGTAGTCAAAAGTTGGTTTTATTCTATCATTCATTCACTGTGACAACATACCTGCCTCACTGCAACAACGAGAGAAGCATATCTTTTTTTCACATTTGTAGTTCATTGTCAATATGACTAGTTTTGATTCTTACGCTACGAAGTTATCTTCTAATGGTGCTTGTCCTCATTGTCATCAATCCATGAAAAAGAAAACAACTTCGACTGATGGTTTTCAAACTACTTTAGACAAGTTATTTCCTAATGCATACGGACTTGAAGAATTTGTCTTCGAAACAAAACAAACATTAGTCCCGAAAGGCTTCTATCCTCATGTGAACACTTTGGTTTGTGTTGGTTTATGTCGTGACGAGATAACAAGTCCTTTCGAAGAGGAAATCGAAGATATGTGGGGTCAAGCATTCATTTGTGGTTCTCTTGGTGGTATGTTATTTTGTGGTGA